GTGACTTGCCCAGGGTCACACAGCTAGTAAGTGTCAAGTGTCTGAGACCACATTTGAACTCAGGTTCTCCTGACTGCAGGTTTAGTGCTCTATCCACTGTGTCACCAAGCTAACCGCCCCCCCCCACTCCAGTATCTTTGCCAAGAAAACTCCACATGGGGTCCCAAAGAGTTGGATACAACTGAAACCAAACTAACATTTGTCTACCTTAGTTTCCTCATCTGTACAACAGGGTTAATAATTTCACCTATCTCACAAAGTTGTTGTGAAAATAAAGTGAGATATTTATAAAGTACTTTGCAAACCTTAAAGTGCTACATAAATGCTTGCTAATATTATTATTGTTGTTTTACCTTTCTTCCTCAACATTGACCCCTATTTTTTAACTAATAAAAAATAAGTTAAGTGACCAACAAAACAAGACCTTTCTGACAGAGGACGCAAAATTCTAAACTCACCATAGCCCTCTACCTCCCTACTGAGAAAAAGGTATTTTTAATCAACTCTTCTCCTAGATTAGGATTGGTAAATGCATAATGCAGGCAAGTGTCAAAGATAGTTATGTGCACATAAGATAAAACTGAAAAAAAATCAAATACAAAAAAAGTAAGCTGTGGTAGAGCAGGAACAGTTTTGTTACTTTCTTTGTGTCTCCAACACTTAGCACAGTGCCTAGCATGTAATAAATGTTAATAAATCTTCGATGATTGATGGACTGACCAAAAAGCATATAATTAAGTAATTTAGATGAAGAGTGAGGACAGTAACGGTTTGTGCAATCAGGAAAGGCCTCTTATTGAAGTGTCACTTGAATTGAGACTTAAAGGAAGCTAGGAATTCCAAATGTTGGAACTGAGGAAGGGAGAGCCTTCCAGGTGTGGGGAACAATCTGTGCAAATGTACCGAGATAACTGGTGGAATGTTGTGTGCAGGGAATTATAAGTAGTCCAGTTTGCTGGAATGTAGAGTGTTTGTGTGAGATCAGCCCAGAGAGGTAGTTTGGTGCATGAATGTGAAGGGCTTTATATGCCAAACAGAAAAAATTTTGTTTTTATTTAAGAGGCAATAGGGAAGCACAGAACCTTGAGCCAAGGGAATAATATGGTCCAGCCTGTAATTTCAGAATATTGATTTGGCAACTATATAGAGAATGGACTGAAGAGGAGAGAGACTGGAAGCATGCAACCAAAAAGGAAACTATTGCATTGTAGATGAAAAGTAATAAGGGCCTGAATTGGAGTGGATATGGATGTGAGAAACGTAGAGTGAGAAGACTTCAAAGCTGATTGCGTGTGATTTGTCCAAAACCACACAGCTGTTTAGATAATGACTGGGGATTAGAAGCCAGGTGTACTAAAGTTTCAATTAAATGCTTTTCCCCCCACTATACTATGCTACTTCTTATTACTTTGTATTTAGTTACTTTATATTTATTTGTATTTATTCTCTTTATATTTATTATTTTATTGTACATATTATATTTATTCTTTATATATTATGATTTATGTGTATATGTTATATTGTCTCTTATATTTATTCTACATAAGTATATATATTCATATGTATACTTATATATGTCCTTGATGTTCTCCTAATTAGATACAAGCTCCTTGTGAACAAGAATTATTCCATTTGTTATATTTATATTCTTAGTGCCTTATAGGATGTAGGTCCACACTAAATACTTGTCAATTGATATACAGTAAAGATTGAATTGCCATAGGAAATACAGTCTGTTCACAATATCAATGGCCAAGTAGGCTTACAACAAATCCTTAGTAGGTGTTGTTACACGTGCTGTGCTGAGGTAGATTCAAAAGTTTAAAAAGACATGATCTGTCCACACAAAGCTTATATCCAACATGCTAGATGAGGGGAGAACAGTTTGGATGCTATGGCAATAGCCCAGGCGATAAGGGACTGAGTTAGGACAGTGGCCATATATGTGAGAGATGTTCACAGTACATTTGAGGAAAGCTCTCCTGTCTTCCCTCTCCCTCTAGATCTTTCCCAGACATATCTCTAATTTCCTCAGTCATTTTTTATAAAGGAGTAAGAGGAAGGCAAAGGATTAAGCATTTATATAGCACCTACTATGTGCCAAGCACTGTGATAAATGCTTTACAAATCTTATTTCATAATCCTGTGAAGTAGGTGCTGTTATTATTTTCATTTTACTGATGAGGAAAGTGAAGCAAATGGGTTAAATGACTTGCCCAGGGTCACACAACTCAGACACTCTCTGGATTTGAACTCAGGTCTTCCTAACTCCAGATCTTTCTAACTCCTTATAAATGGTTATAAGACTTCCTCCCCCATACTGGTTGCCCTCTTCTAGATGTGTTTGTCAGTTTTGCTTCTAAAATATGATGCCTAGAACCTGACCACGATAGCCCAGGTGTGAGTTGATAAGAATGAATGACAATGGGAATGTTACCTTCCTTATTCTATTAATGCTCCCTAAGACTACAAGAGCTTTTTTGGTAACTCATGTTGATATTATAGTCCGATAAAACAACAGAGACTTTTTCCACATGAAATACTATTGTCGGTTTTCTGACATCCTGTACTTATACATTTATTTTTTTTTATCTCAAATAAACGCAGGATTTGGACATCAAGTCCTACATTTATTCTTAATGTCATCTCATTAGGTTTGGCCCATAATTTTCATCTGGCTGGCTTACTGTGATCATCACTTCATTTTCTCAGTACTCAAAGGGTGTTTCATGACATAACTTAGAATTCTGCTAGAATGATGGAATTAAGTCACATTCAGCAGTCTGCAGTTTGTTTGATGAACAATTCCCTATTATTTAAAGTGAGAAATCTCACCTCTAATCTTATGGTGCCTCTTTTTTTTTTCTTCATGATTCCTCAGATTGATAATGGTTCAGTAGTTATCTTTTAGGGTTTGGGTTTGGTTGTTTTTTTTGTATCCTAATTATTCTAAGCCTGGAAACTTAAATTCATTTAAATCAACTAGATGCTCTTCTACTATTACTTCACCTTTCTGGGCTTCAAAATCTTAATGGTTTTACCTTTTCCCATCTGAAGATCTTTCTCCTTGATAATGAAGATGGAAGCCAGTTTGGAGTTAATTGAATAGTTCTGCTTTCTCTCTGAAATTACATATGATTTTTTTAGCCATTTTTCTTCTTTTTGGTTTTTCTTTAGTTATCTTTTGAAGGGGCACTCCTTTAGTATAAGAAGGAGAGCAGAAAGTTGGTCAGAAATAAATGTAACTTATAAGAAATTCTCTTGAAATCTCTTATTCTTTAAATTTGGTTAGAAAATTTAAGTATTCTTTTTATATGGCAGTGCTATCCAGGTTAGTTTAAGGATTGTCTGTCTTATCCTGTTCCTTAAAACTGTGTGAAGAAGTGTTTTATTATCTGTCCATAAGCAGACAATGTAGAGCCCTTTGTGAGTATAGGGTGGCTAAAGGTGGTACAGTGGATAAAGCAGTGGGCCTAGGGGTCAGGAAGACCTGAGTTTGAATCTTACTTCAGACAAGCTGTGTGACCCTGGGCAAGTCAATTAACATCTATCTGTCTCAGTTTTCTCAAGTGTAAAATAGGGATAATAATAGTGCCTATTTCACAAGGCTATTGTGAGGATCAAATGAGATATCTGTAAATTGCTTGGCACAAATCAGGCACTTAATAAATGCTTGTTCCTTTTTTCCCCTACCACCAATGGAATTTTAACAAAATCATTTAATTTGCAGAAGAATTTTTCTTTAACATTAATTTTTCCAAGATTTCATTGGATTTAATATGTCCCTTCCCTATTTCATTTCCTCAACATTGAAAGATATTTTGTTTCTTTACTCCAATGCCCCAGTGGATCCATGATTTCATCAATGAGGAGATTCCATTCAACAATGCAGATCACATCTCCTCCATGCTGGCTCATCCTGGACCATGATTTCTCATGTCCTTCCAAAAGATTGCCACAAGGGAACCACCCTACCAGAGCTTTCATCTTTTTCTCTTGATAGCATGAAGATACCAGTAGAGTATATGGAAATCCTTCAGTTATCATTTACCTTCATCACATGACCAACCTATCAACCTATCTTCCTTTTTCAATCATACATTTTTTCATGATATTTTTTTTATCACTTATTTCTAAATTCATTGCAATGTCTGCTCATGTCCATCACACCTCCATTGTTCTTTGTGTGATGCTTACCTTCAGTTCTTCAGAGACTGGAGTCATGCAGCATCTCTGTGCAAGAATAAATTGATGTTAAAAAGATGGAACTGTTTCAGAGAGAACTTTAGGGACATCAAAATAACTTTACAAATTTCCCAATGGAATACAACCTGCTCTCATCTTGTTAATTTTGGGGCCCAACACACCATCTGTTAGTGATGTTTGGCTAAGATATATGCTTATGGACAATCTGCTTTAGTTATCTAACTGCATATATTGTATTGTCTATACAATAGCCTAATTCATCCACTTTTTTATTTCCCTTGATGATTCTCATAAATTTCTGTGTTTCTGAGCATATTTGTATTTTATTTCTGAGTAACTTTCTGTTCTCCTTCTTATACTGAGGGAACTCCTATTGCCCTATTGTCCAGAATAAGCTGTGAGATACAAGATTTATGCATATTTTTTTTTTTGGCTAGGCAATGGGGTTAAGTGACTTGCCCAGGGTCACACAGCTAGTAAGTGTTATGTGTCTGAGGCCAGATTTGAACTCACGTCCTCTTGAATCCAGGGCCAGTGCTCTATCCACTGCACCACCTAGCTGCCCCTAAGATTTATGCATATTTTACAGCAGAAATATTACAAGAACACTACATCTTTTGAGAATAAAAGGCATTTCATTAAAAAAACCCCAATTATCAGAAATGCCATCTAAAAAGTGCCTTTGTTATCCTTTTTTTCTGGTGAAAAGTACTTCAAAAATTAATGTTTAACTTAGAAAAACTGAATTTAAAAACACGTGTACATCATGTTTTGTGATAATTTTGCTCTTTCAGTGGCACTGCTGACTTGTTTGCCACTTGCTCCATGGAAGATATCCGAGTGTGGCACACCTCTTCCAACCGGGAGCTATTACGGATCACTGTGCCCAATATGACTTGCTATGCTATTGACTTCATGAGAGATGGCAAAAGCATCATTTCAGGTAATGTTCTTGTGGTGAGACTCAGACTTGTTCTTGAGATTCAGACCTACACTATAGCTTTGATTGTTGCAGTTTTTATTTCATTTTGGTTTCTACAACATGGTTGACCTAGAAGAGCTTTTCACCTATTATTCTTGCTTATTTAAACCCTTCTTTCAAGTCCCATTCTTATAGGAAATAATTTCAAACACAAGGTAACTGTGAGCATTTTCATCTCAAATAGCTAGAAATCTTTACCTGAGTGTCCTCAAACCCCACATCTGAAACTGAACTCTTCACCTTACTTCCCTCCATACCTCCCCTTCCTACAAATGTCATTATCTCTGTTCCCAGTTACCCAGGGTTGAAACCTCAGCGCTAACTTCCTTTTACCTCATGCCATACATCTAATCAGTTGCCAAATATTGTCATTCCTATCTCCAAAGCATCCCTCACATTTTGTTACCTTCTCTCTACTCACACTGCCAGTACACTAGTTTAGGCACATATTATCATTTACCTGGAATACTGCAATAATGTTCTAATTGTTTTCCCAGCCTCCAGTCTCTCCATTCTCCAATCCACCCTTCACAGAGCTACAAAAATATTCTTCCTTAAGTCAGAAGACTTGTGAATTACATATTGTGCCCCTGCTCAATAACTTTATTTTTAAATATAACTTTTATTTTACTTTTTGTTAATTAATAAGTATTAATTTTCTCTTGCTCCCACCTTCCATCCATTGAAAATAAAAGAAAAACAAAACACTTTTGAACACATTATATCAAGCAAAACAAATTCTCACACTGACTATATAAAAAATGTGTATCTCATTCTGAACCCTGAGTCCATCACTTCTCTATCAGAAGGATAGTATGCTTCATCATCAGCCTTTTGGAATCATGGTTAGTTATTGGAGTGATCAGAGTTCTTAAGTCTTTACTTTATCCAAAGCTTTGCTCCAGTCCCTAATTTTAACACCGTGCGAATCTTATGTTTCAGGTGTGTTTCCTATAAGCAATAGATTGTTGAATTCTGATTTCTAATCCATTCTGCCATCCTCTTTCATTTTATATTTAAGTTCATCCTATTTGTATTCACAGTTATGAACATTATTTGTGTATTTTCTTCCATCCTGTTCTCTTATACTTTTCCTTCTCTATTTCACATCCCCTCTTTATATAGAAGAAGGTAGTGAAAGAGAATGAGTGCGGTCAGCACCAGTATTCTAGTTTTAGTGCAATCTACTTCTGTTCCCTTGCCCTCTAATCTCTCTCACCTAGAACCCAATCATGAGTTCTCATTCTTTCTTTTCTTTTAAGTCCCTCTTCTCAATGAAGAGTTTACATTACTTAGGCCTAATCCCTTCTTAATCTGCCTTCCCTTTTGTTCCTTTCTTTCCCTTTTCCCCTTTCCCTTCTGTTTTCTTGTTGAGTATTTCTGGACCCAACTCTCTATGTGTGTGTTTATATTCTTCCCTCCTGTGACTAATTGAGATGACAGTGAGTTTCAAGTGTAATTTACTCCTCCCACCCCTTCCTCCTTGTTTATATAGTCTTCTACCCCAATTATGGGAGATAATTTCCCTAACCATTCCTCTTCTTTTTCTTCCCTAATGTGTTCTTTTCACCTTCCCTCTCCATTCTTCTTTTATGATTATTATAACATAAGAAAATCCCTCCCAGGTCCTCTGTCTTATTAGACTGCTTCCTTGACTCTTAATGATAATAAGGGGTTTCAATGGGGCACATGCACCATCTCTTCATATTAGAATGTAAAGTTTATCCTCATTTAGTCTCTTATGATTGTTCACTCAAATTCATCTTTTTATGTTTCCCTGTATTTCAAAGTTTCTATGGCACTCAAATCTTTTTTATCAAGAAGTCCTCTATTTCATTAAAGATCCATTTCACACAGACTCCTCCATAGGATTATACTTAGATTGGCTGTGTGCCTCTATCTTTTGCTTTCTGGAATATTGTATTCCAAGTTCTCTGTCCCTTTATACTGGTGCTGCTAAATCTTGTGTGATCCTGATTGTGGTTCCTTGGTACTTAAATTCTTTATTTCTATCTGCTTGCAGTATTTTTCTTTGAACTGGAATCTCTGAATTCTGACTATGATATTCCTGGGAGTTTTCATTTTGGGGTTTCTTTCAGAGGTACCCATAGGATTTTTCCTGTTTTTCACCTTGCCCTCTAAGAGATCTAGGCAATTTTCTTTTGCTTTCTTGAAATATTACATTTAGGTTCTAATTTTCATTATGGTGTTTAGGTGGTCCAGCAATTTAAAAATATTTTCTCAATTTGTTTTAAGTCAGTTGTTTTTGCTATACAATAGTTTACATTTTTGTCCATTTTTAAAAGTCTTTTGACTTTGTTTTAATACTTCTCGTTGTCTCTTGGTGTCATTTGGTCCATTCAAGATTCCAGGGAGTTTGTTGCTTGGGACAAGGTTTTAAAGCTCTTGTGCCAAGCTGCTAATTCTATTTCCAATTAATTCTTCCATAACTCTATTTTCTTTTCCAAATTGTTCCCTCTAGCTCTCTCATTTAATTTATAACAACATAACAACAAATTTATAACAACTCTTTAAAAAAAGAACCTCTTGCTTCATTTTTCCAGAAAATCCAGTTGAATTTGTTCCCAAGAATTTTTCCTGGAAGCTTTGCTTATAGATGTTTTGAAGTCATTCTGTACTTTTGAGTTTTTGTCTTGAGCATCTCTGTTGCCAAAATGCTTTTTAGGGTGAGATTCTCTTTTTATTTGCTCTTCCAGCCTACTTCCTGACTTCAGACTGTATGTTAGGGCTAATCTCTGCACACTTTGGGAAGGAATATTTGGGCTGAGTTTGTGTCCTGCAGCTGCTTTCTAGGGGTTATTGAATATTGTGTTATTCCAGGATCTCACTGACTGCTGAGGCTGGGGACCTGCAGGTTTTCAGTGCTTCCAAAGTGATCCAATGCAAAGTCTGGTCACTGCCATCTTTGTCTAAGTTCTATCAGTTCCTGACCTGGATTTGAATCTAAACAACACACCTATGGGCTTATTCTTGTTTGGCACTCCAGTAAACTGTTGCCAGACTCAGCAACTAGAAAGCTCTGCTGGTTCAGTGACAGAACTGTAGACCCCCTTTTAATTTGGATTTCACTCTTCCATTGCATGCTTCAGAGTGGGCTGAAAATAAGATTCCTACTCTGCTTTGCATCCCAGGATCAGCAGTTTGCTGGGTCTGTGTCATTTAGGAATGCCACCACGAGGAAGAGATTTTATTTGTTTTATGAATAATACTCTGTTCCAGGGGCAGCTAGGTGGCGCAGTAGATAGAGCTCCAGCCTTGGAGTCAGGAGGACCTGAGTCCAAATCTGGCCTTAGACACTTGACACTTTCTAGCTGTGTGACCCTGGGCAAGTCACTTAACCCTGACTGCTTAGCCAAAAAGCAAAAAATAATAATGATAATAATAATAATAATAATTCTCTGTTCCAATTCTATAGCTTTACATCTTTGCAAATTAAAGCTGGGTCCATTTGGCTTCCTGCTAACAGAGTACCTGAATTTCAGAGGCAGCTTTTAGAGAGGAAAAAAAATTCATACTACCTACCTTATACATTTGTTGTGAGAAAAGCACTTCATAAACACTTTACATTTTTTAAACCTTTTAGGTTTAAAGGGGGAAAATTTTAAGCGGTAGTGGAAAATTTTCAACGATGTTATAACATTCTGTGGGTCCTGTGTTTATATTTTATAATAGTTTGCCTCATGGGCATCCATATTATTTGTAAGAATGTGTTGGCCATATTGGTTCTAATTGTCAAGATCTCTCCAATATTAAGTTAATGTTATTCTTCCTCTTCAATCCCTAGGCTAAAATTAAGTCTATTCATTTAACTCCCTGTATCTAGGGATACATCTGCAGGCATTGGAAAGTCATAAAACCTAGCTTTTGTGAATCACTTCTCAAGTTGAGGGATTTGGTGCTCTTGTGATGTTGTCTGTCAGCACTTGCCTCTTGTTTCTTGTAAGATCCTATACTGGAAGCATGAATGGTTGGGGTACAGAATGATTAAATCCCAATTTGCTGTCTGCTAATATCTTGAATAGGTTGAAATTGGTCTCAATCAATGCTGAATACTAGAGATATTCAAGGTATCCACTATCTACCTCTAATACTCATGACTCCCTTAGAGAACTTAATCTCACATTAATATAGCCCAAATATGGGTAGTCCTCATTCAGTCCTTCAAGTTCCCTGCATAAACTGAAGGGTGGTATCTTTTGCACATCTCTGATAGGATATGGAGTATAATAGTTACTTGGGATCCCCTGCTCAGCACAGCAGGACATTCTATATCTTCAATCATATTCATTTCTGCAAGGAGTCCTAGGAGTCTTGTTGGCATCTATAGATTGGACAATTAGGAGGCAACACCATTAATAACAACAGCAATGTCTAACATTGATAGAGCACTTTATAATGGAGTGTGTTGAGTCAGCCCCTGTAATCCTTTCTACTGAGGGAAGCTGAATGTAGTGGATTCTGTGAGTCCTTTGGGAGTCCTAACCTACAGTAGGGCTAAAGCTCATAGGGAATTTGTACTGAGCCTGGTACAAATATCGTGAGCTCCTGGGAGTGGAGTACCACCATACTTCTCAAGGATCGAGTAAATTGGCCAAGTCAAAGAACTTTGCAGGTTTAAAAATTTCTAACCAGTCATTACTGGGATTGGGTCATTAGCGGCCATGGAACTTCCAACCCATATACACATACACACACACACACACACACACACACACACACACACACACAACCAACCCATATACACAGACATACACAACATTTTTTTTATGTGTATATATACATAAAATCTCTTTTGAGATTCAAAACAACCCTTTATTTTATAGATGAGAAACCAAGAGACTTATTAAGGGTCACATAGCTCGTGGTATCTGAGGCACTATTCAAACTCAGGTCTTTCTGACTCCAACTCTCATGCTCTATCCATTACAGCACCTAGCTGTCTAATATGCTCACATACCAACATATTCTTCATACATGTATCTTCTCTTTCCCATACATGTATGCAGAGTATGTTGATATTTGAGTGTGTGACTCTCTGTTACCTACATTTACTTGTTATCCTTTCTTGCTTCAGGCTCTTATAATCTGGCTCTGCCCCATGACCATACTGAAACTGTTCTCTCAAATGTCACCAAAGACCTCTTAAACGCCAAATCTAATGGATATTTTTTTCAGTGGTTGGGAATTATGGGGTAGAAGGGGTTTAGACATCCCCCCAACCATGGAATGGAGTAGAAGATGTCTCAACACACTTTGTGGGTCCTTCCTATAGGCAAGAAGTTGGGTGTGATGACCTCAGAGGGGACTTGGGTATGGGTTAGATGGTACCAAGTCCAACACAGTTCCTCCTTCTCCAACCCTCTTCCCACACACATACTTCCTAATCCAGAAGCTGAGAATGTGAACAATCCAGGGAAAGTTTAGATTAATATGTATGAGGTGGAAAGGAGGGAAGTATGATTTCTGACAACAAACATTTCTCAGCCTTAGGCTTTCCTTGCTACCCCTCTTCCTGTATCATCTCCTGCACTATCTCTTATTTATGTTGTATGTGATTCTGTTTCTTGGGTTGAAGTGAATTTATTTACCTTGTTTCTATTTCATTTCTTTTTCCCTTAGCTTGGAATGATGGTAAAATCCGTGCATTCACTCCAGAGACAGGTCGACTGATGTATGTCATAAACAATGCTCACAGCATTGGAGTGACAGCCATTGCTACTACAAGTGATTGCAAAAGAATCATCAGTGGAGGTGGTGAAGGGCAGGTGTGGTATTTGAACCTAAGACTTTTTTGAGGTCATGTGGTTGGTATTTAATTTAGAAACAATATTAAGTGTCATAGTCATAGGCAAAATGAAAATAATTTTTAAAGAGGAAGATGTAGATAAACTTCATCTTAAAATATTAGTGTTAGCAATCCCACATAAATTCATCCATTTGGAATTTAATTCTTTCTTTCACTTCTGTTTATTTCAATGGATCGCAGTTTCTGTAGAACCAAACTAAGATGCTATACGACCCTGAACTATGCCAAGTGTGGGAATATCATTCTCAGAGACAGGATGTTGAATAAACTTATATATGAGGCAAAGAGATAGAAGTATAAAAATGGGGAAAAAGAAGTTATAAAATTGGCACCTCAACACTATTTTTGTAGTTTCAATCTTACAGGAATTTTTTTTCCTCTCTAAAAGCTGCCTCTGAAATTTAGGTGCTCTGCTAGCCAAAAACCAAATGGACCCAGCCTTAAATCGTGCTCTTTGTCTGAGATTCAAGATAATGGTTCTTTGTCTAAGCTCACTACAGATTTTTGCAAATCTCATTTGACAATTTTAAAAGATATCTATTAAAACAGCTAAACTTTAACACCCATTAACAAATAGCAAAACATATCTTTTGAAAACTCATAAAACAAACAATAATTTGTTTGGCATTTTTATTTATGATCACTTAACTGTACTGTTATAAAATGAATGCCATTCTTTGAGTCAGTAGAGTTGATTTGAAAATCCAAGCTATTAACACTTACTGGCTGTGTGACTATATGTTGTTAGTCATTTACTTTCCTGGGCCTGTATTTACACATCTATAAAAAGGGGACAGATTCATATATCTATCTTATACATTTGTTGTGAGAAAAGTACTTCATAAACTTTAATATATTTAATATATTATTTAAATATGAGCTATTATTTTTGCTCCTTTCCTTTGTTGCAGGAAAAATAGATTCTTATTGATTTCATGGGATACATAACTGTTGCTAAATAAATCTATCACAATGCAGAAATTCTAGAGGTTAAAACCTAGGTTTTATTATGCTTAAGCACAAGTTTAGGATTCAGAAAAATAACCCTGAACCCATACTGGGGTTCAGACCAAGATTTTAATAGAGAAAAATTATGTCAGAGAGAGACAGAGAAAAAAAATTTAAACATATAACAATGTTTAAATGTCATAAATGTCACACAGGCCTCATCAAGCAGAATCATTATCACATGCTTCCTCCAATGTCATACAAACTAAGATTTAAACAGAGTCTGCAAAAATTTACTCTATAATGCTACAAGGCTACATTTAAAGAATTCACAATGCACTGAGTGAGAAGTTTACATGTCACAAAGATATCTAAAGGGTAGGAGCCAGGGGAATCCTTCCACGAATAACATAAACTAAATTCCTTTTAGAGGATTTAAGATTTTGTTAGATGCTATATTCCCTTCTTCCTCTCTTTAGGTTTCTTATCTCAGGAATGTCACTTAATATTATCATTAAAACCCATGAGTCAGGTTTTAGCCAGGTAAGGTTAATATTAACAGGAGACAGGTTTCAGTCAGCCAAATATTCAGGAGAAATGGCCCTGTGCTCCAAATGACATAATAAAAGGAAAATGAAAAATTCTCATAACACCATTTTTTCTTTTATCTCTGTTATTTGTCTTCTAATTATCTGATTCTCATGAATCATTAGCTTTGCCCCAAAATATTTTTGTTCTCAGTCTCTAGACTTTAGACTTGCGAGGGGGTATGAAAACTCTTCTAGTTTTTTACCTAGCTAAATGTCTTCTTCTTTACCTCCTCTAAATTGATATAAATATTTATTGTCTCCTAGCCAAAATCTTCTTTTAGTCTTAGTAATCAAAGAAATAATCTATTATGGAGGAAAAAAAGACATATGCAGCATCTAGGAATCACAGAATGTTGGAACTGGAAGGGAAACTTTTGTTGTTCAGTCATATCTCACTCTTCATGACCCCATTTGGGGTTTTCTTAGCAAAGATACTGGAGTGGTTTGCCATTTCTTTCTCCAGCTCATTTTATAGATGAGGAAACTGAAACAAAAAGGGTTAAGTGACTTCCCCAGGGTCACACAGCTAGTAAGTGTCTGACGCCAGGTTTGAACTTAGAAAGATAGTCTTCCTGACTCCAGCGAGGCCACTTTATCCAGTTCCCCCCCGCCCCCAGCTGCCATAGGGAAACCTTAGAGATTATTTAATAGTCTAACCCACTTATTTTACAGATGGGTAAACTGAAGCACAAAAAGTTAGTGATTTGTAAACTCATATAGCTAGTAACAAAAGCAGCACTTGAAAGATCTTCTGACTCCAAGTCAAGGGCTCTTTCCACTATCTGTTTTCATTTATTTAGCTTCCTTCTCTCAGATCTTTCTTCCTCACCTCTGATACATTTCACTCAAAATGGCCATGTATGAAACCTGTGTGACTGCTTGTATGAAACAGGTATGAAATACTATGTGACAAACAGCAAAAGTTTTACCTAAATTTTGCTTTCAAAGAGAGAAGTTAAAAAACCCTAGGGCTTTCCTATTTGATTTCTTTAGGCAGAGCTGGGTAGCATTTGGTCTGCCTACAATGATTGTTTCTGTTTGCTTAAGGTTACCCTTAACTCCTAATACTTCTATTTAATCATCTATTTGAGAAAATGCATAAAGATCAGCTTCTGGAGGCAGACAGAACTATCATCTCCAATAACCCATTGCACATTTATAACAGAATATTGTAAGCAGTAAATTAATCAGAAAACCAAACTCAAAATCAAAAACAAATTGTAAAGGGAATAGAGAGAGTACTTAGCCCAGGGGACAAAGTCATTGTCTATCTCCTATCTAACCACATTCTTGGCCTTTCATATGTGTGTGCTCCAACAAAGCTTTTGTAGGTTTTGATCCCCTATTTAGACATTCTGGATGTGCTGTGGCAGTTCTGATTTCAAGAAAAGAAAGTATTTTTCATGAGGTATTACAAAAGGAATATCCTTTGTCAGATATGTCCTGATTTTTGGTTCAAGAAATATAGTTGCCATGCTGTTAAGTGATAACATGGGGGGTGAGGGAAAGGGGAAGGGAATAAACATTTTTATAGCACCTATTATGTGCCAGGCACTGTGCTAAGTACTTTACAAATATTATCTGATTATTTGATTCTCAGAACATTCTTGTGATCTAGGTGCTGTTATAATTCCCATTTTACAATTGAGGAAACTGAGGCAAATAGAGATTAAGTGATTTGCCGAAGATCACATAGCTAGTAAGGTTTCTGAGGCTGCATTTGAACTTGACTCTTCCTGACTCCAGGCCTAGCACTTTGTCGACTGTACCACCCGGCTGCCACCTGGCTGCCTATTCCAGCCAGATTCCATGAACCTAGCACAGATAAATGCTTAGGGGAAGACAACATGATTCATAGAATGTTTTGGGAGAAGCAAGATGCCCTGACTATGACGTCACAGTCCCTCTCCCGGTTCAGAAACATACATATCTCAAGGGTATAAATGCTATGGATCTTATCCCAAGAAGTGGGCAACCAGGATATATACATATATATAAACAAGCATGAACCATAGGAATTGAACAAATCTGTCTTCCCTTTTCCCATATGTGAGGAACAGGGCATCTGAAGGAAATGCTGAGCAGGAGCTTCTAGATTGTGAATTGTTGTGGTCAGAGAATGAATGGAGTGGGGGTGGGAAGGATGACCATGAAAGAGAAGGGAACCAGAGCACTTTACCGGCAGAATGAAAGGTATGCCAAGAAAACAAAGAGTGAAGATCAATGACTGGAACCCCAGAAAGGCAAGACAAATGCATTCAGGGCAGAGTTCACCAGTGCCTTATGGAAACCACAGCAGTACCACCAGAATGAGGATGCTGCCTAGACCCGGTACACACAGAGATACTGAAACTGTACCTGCATCAGTGATGATGACTTTTTGTGATAGGGACTTTACTAAATATAGTTTGTAAAAAAAAAAAAAACAAGTTTGTAAAAACTGCACAGAACCTCTAAGGAGAAAAACAAGGCTTATTGGGATAGGCTAGTTCTTAGCTAAGAGCTCAGATACCAGTCTGTTATGTTTTTCTTACTGCCTTAAATAAAATTTGTTCTGTCTGATGCCTATGAATATACACAGGGAAGACTGACAGCCTTGGCTTACTAATGGTGTGACCTTGGGCAAGCCACTCAACTTCTTCCCTGAGTCTCAGTTTGCTTATGTACAAAATGAACGGATCAAACTAGGTGGTCTCTGAGGGCCCTTCCAGTTCATGAATGCCTATTAGCCTGTGGGAGCATGTGTCATAGAGACTGCTATCAAGACTATAACTGTGCCTGTGATGTCAGAAGTCAGAGCATGGGTTATATGTGGGGGAATCATCTGGGATTATTTATTTTGCAGGCTTTAGGGCATCCCTAGCCTACCTACACTGTATAGTGGCTTGGGGGTAGGAAGGGGAAAGGCCGTCATGTGAATGGCCACCATGGCTGCATTAAAGCTGTTAAAGGATTGAGGCATAAGGATAGGTGTCAGCTCTCACTGAGGTCTGTTGATTTTTGAGGTCCCAATGAGCTGTGACAAGTATACCATTGGAAAGACCTGATACACTGTAGTGGACCCTTTGGGGGGGGTATAATTTACTGTGGAGCATATTAGGAAAGATGACAATGAAGCTACTGCCTTATGTGAGTGATTTGAAACTGTAGAGCCTTCCTGGGGAGATAACCCAGAAAAGAGAGGTGTTGGAAACTGTTACTAAAACCCTCTAAACAAGATGAAGACCCTCATAGAAGCAAAGAATGGATTACAGAAATTTCTGGGTATTAAGACACCGTCGTCTTCAGCCGTGACCTGAGGTCAAAAGAGGCATAGGCTTGGATAGTTGGACTAGCTGTCAAGCACTCATTACAGAAAGAGGAGACCCATTATAAGCAATTATGGTTATTTTCAGGGTAGCATGATTGCTTACCTAGAGAGGAAGCCTTTGAGTACTGGCTAGAATGTTATAAATAGAAGATAACAGTAGTAGGAGTTGCCTTATATATAGAAAAGTGGTCAATGACAAGGCAGCCAAGATTCAGAGTTGCAGAGCAAGTGTTGATCTGTAAGAGTAGGAGAGACATCTATTAGTCCTGAAAGGGAAAGAAAGTGAATCAGTCATTTTAAAAGTAGTAAGATATATTGTGATCAGCTCAAAAATTTTTAAAAGGTTGATGGATAGGTCTTAAAATGTCCACATACATTGTGCTTTTGGGCATCTCACAAAACACACAACACTGTGTCTATTTAGACAATAGATGGAAGGGCTTAATTCATTTTGTTGGGGATAAAGAAAAATAATTGCTATGGCAATTGGAAAAGTGACTGAACATTCAAGAAACTTAGATTAGATGCATTTTTTCATCTATTTAAGAACAATGGAAAGAAACAGGAGTTTGGATAACTATATTCTAATCCTGGTACTAAAAGTTTACTGCGTAAGAGAAATGAAAAAATTTCATTTAGCTTATCAGTATTACTATTTCCCTCCCTAGAGCTAAGGCATCATCAGCAAGATTAGTTGAAGATCTGCTCTTAGATTAGAAATATGAACTAGATGATCTACAGCAGTTTCTGGACTAGGTGGCATACATAGTAGATAGATAAAGGCTGGCCCTTGAATCAAGAAAACCTGAGTTCAAATTTGGCCTCAAACTCTTACTAGCTCTGTGATCTCAGGCAAGTTCTCTTGCCTCAGTTTCCTCAAGTGTGAAATGGGGATTATAATAATACCCATCTTCCGGGGTTGTTATAAGGATCAAATGAGATAATATTTGTAAAGCACTTAGCACAGTGCCTGAAATGTAATACATAGAAGATGCTTAATAAATCCTTCTTTCTTTCCTTCTTTTCTTTTTTCCTTCCATGGAAGTTCACAAACTTATATATTTGAGCATATTTGAATATCTCAACTTAGTAACCTCCTCTACCAATTTTGAGGAAGAGATTTGCAACTCAGAAATGAAGTCTCCCTTCTATGGGAGGGAGGGCCAGGACTTCTGATTCATTGATCTAGTTTAGTTGAATCAATGAGTTTGGGTGTATGTGGATTTTTTTCACTGTTGTTTTGTTTTGCTTTGAGGTAAGGGTATGGGAAATAAGCCCTCAATCTCAGAAACTGGAGGAAGCTCTAAAGGAGCACAAATCATCAGTATCCTGTATTAAAGTAAAGAAGAATAATGAAGAATGTGTCACAGCCAGCACAGATGGGACTTGCATTATTTGGGACCTTGTGTACGTACACTGTGATGGTGAGGATGATGGAGTAACACTGATCAAGTGCCCTAAAAATGTAATGTTACGATACAGGAGGGTTCATGGTTCTAGGCTTGAATCCAAATTGGAAGATGATTCAGATTAAAGGAAGTGACCTTAGGCAAGTCACAGAATTCCTCTAGCCTTCATTTCCTTGGCTATAAAATTATGGGGCTTGGACTGGATAACCTTTAAGATTCTCCTCCAGCTCTCAATCTATGACTCTATGTAAGCTATTCCACTGAGAAATGAGCTATAAATGTCCAGTAGGGCTGTTTTCACTATCATCTATTAGTTTATGGGAGCTAATACTGGTTTTCTCAAAGGCTTTCAGGATAAATGAGAAGTTTGAAGGGGGGAAATTAGTTGTTTTATCCATTTAAAAAACAAAGACCTGCTTCTATAGGAAAATCCTGAATAAAATACATAGGGGAAAAAAAGCACTATTATAAAATGTACTCTGTTGGGGATAAAGAGAAATAATTGCTGTGAGCAATTGGAAAAGTAGTCAAAAGGTCAATAAACTTAAATTAGATGCATTTTTCCATACATCTGAGGACAATAGAAAGAAATGGGAGTTTGGATAACTAGACTCTAATTCTGGTCCTGACATTAACTTGGGGTGACTTTGAGGCAAATCATTTCATTTCTATGATCTTTAACCTTCCCATCTGTAGTACAAGAGGTTACTAGATGATCTCTTCTATTTCTGTCTCATTTCCCTTTGAAAGACTATTTAATTAAGAGATAAGTTATGAACTTCCTTCCCTAACTGATGATCTCAGACCATGGGAGTCAAAGGCCTGGGTTTGAATCCTAACTTTGGACTTATTACCTGTGTGGCCTTGGACGAATCCATGAACCTCTAGGGAGTTTACTTTTCCTTACCTGTATAAGGTGGGGTTGAACTAGCTAATCTTGAAAGTCCCTTTTGTCTTGAAATCTATGATCTTGGGTATTCCTTGGACTGGAAAAAATAATCCTGAGGTAGTCTGGTGCAACCAATTAGAGGAGGAAAAGCAAGTAAATTCCAGAGCTTTTTATGGATAGCTATTTTTCAGGCGTCTGAAGAGGAACCAGATGATTCTGGCCAACACTTTATTTCAATGTGTTTGTTACCATCCAGAAGAGTTTCAGATTATCACCAGTGGGACAGATAGAAAGGTAAGTAGCCATAACAGCAAGAGACAAGATCTTTTAAAGAGTTAAACAGAAAGGCACTACAAGGCTATGGCTAGACCAATTATTTATTGCTATTATTTCCTGACTAAATACAAAGTGAGAAAGATTAGATATGCATAGCTTCATAAACTGCCCCAATTCATCACTACTGAAAAAGCAAACAAACAAACAAGCTTATTAATTGGTACATCTCTAATTCATTACTGGGGATAACTGGGCAGGAGCTGAGAAACAATTCTCTTTTTATTGTCCATAAAAACTTTCTCAAGAGAATTAATTGTGTAAAGACCTTACAGAGCTACTACTTTAAACTATGTAAAATCCTAGTTTTACATTAGCCCTCCCTGGACCTTTAGAAGTACATATGCCAATTATTAGCCATTCATTAAAAGTATATATGATTCCTAAACTGCTATCCTCTAATTTTTATAGTTTTCTCTGGGACTCTTTACGTTGTAGCAAGAGAACTTTCAATTAAATAAATCCAAATTAAACCAAAACATAATTCTCAAGATAAATTTAAATACCTTACAATATTTTTATGAGAAATGCAATGTTTTAGAAGGATGAAACATGAAAAAAACCCCAACTATTTAACTCTTGTTAACTTCACTTCAAATGGTTTTCCAATTTTTGTTAATGTACATGCCCTTTTAAAGGTTTTTAAACAAAGAGATCCTCCAACAAACATCCTTTCTAATGCCTTCATTGTGATATGAAGTTGACCTTGAGTTCTTGAAGGCAAGGAAGGCAGAACTCAAATGCTTCGTGTACAGGTCAGCAGAGACTCAAAATTACACAGTTGGCCAACAAGTAGTGAAGTTTTTGTTTGTTTTTTTGTTTGATATCAATTAATGAGATCTCCTACTTAAGGAATAGAATGATAGTGAAATCATATAGGTGAAGTCATGGCTTCTTATAATATTGAAACATTAAAGAATGATGTAAAAGTAGTTTCTTTACAATTTTTCCTTAATCTCTTTTATCCTTTTACCCTGTGCCACTTTTTGAAGAGTAATAAGTACTTCTTTTTGTTAATATATATTCTATAAGACTCATGTACATATTACTACATATTTTTTTCATTACCACAAATTCTTATTATATACACTTCTATCCTGATTTCCAGATTGGTTACTGGGAAGTATTTGATGGGACAGTAATTAGAGAGCTAGAAGGTTCCTTGTCTGGTTCAATCAATGGAATGGATATTTCATCAGAAGGAGTGCATTTTGTCACAGGTTAGTACTAGAATAAAAGGAAGCAATATTTAAATATATTAGCAAGTGAGCCTGGAGGGGTTTTTGTAGCTCCAAGAGGAAGTTAAATGAGAATTCAGCTGTAAAGTATTTCATGGGAAGGAAATACTAGAAAGATAACTCAGAAGAACAAGACTAATACCAAGATAAGAATAGGGTAAAATTTAGATTTCATAGGAATCGCTTTTCATTTATTTGGTGGGCAATAGAAAAACGAGCTGAAAAATTGGTCCTTAATCACATACAATGTGGTACAGTCAAAAGATATTGGATTTGGAGTTAGAGAACTTGAGTTTGAATCTCTGCTCTGTCATTTATTAGCTTTATGACCTTGAGTAAGTCAATTCACTTCTTTGAGTCTTAATTTTCTCATATGTAAATGAGAAGGGACTTTGAAGGACTCTTTTGATCCTAAATCTATGATCCTATTGAGGGAATAGAATTACTTTGTACTTTTAAAATTTCTTGTTGAAATCCTGAATATAAATTTTCCTGATTGTAATCTATCAGGATACAAATATACTGAACACTTTTGCATAAATTGTTTTTAAAAATCAGCTTTCCCAAAAAAAGGCACTGACCACAAAAAAAAAAGTTTCTATCAGTCATATAAGAGCATATTTAGTTCCACACGCCTTCATTTTTTTAAGAATATTAATAAACTGAAGAATGTTTAAAGGGTCGCAAATATTCTCTTATCTTAGAGTTAATCCTAATATGCTGTTTTTAATAAAAAGATAACTCATTTCTCTCCTCATTTTGTATTTAAAGTCCCCATCAACAGAAAATCAGTCTCCTTTTTAAACACTCCAGACCCCCAGTTTCATGTGTATATGTTCCTTCATTTCAGGTGGTGATGACCATTTAGTCAAAGTGTGGAGTTATAGTGAAGGTGAAGTGACCCATGTTGGGGTGGGACACAGCGGCAACATTATCCGCATGAAGATAAGCCCAAAAAATCAGCACATTGTTAGCGTAAGCGCCGATGGAGCCATTTTGAGATGGAAATACCCTTTTTCCTCTTGAATTAGTATTGGAACCTCTTGAAGGACATTGTTCATGCTTCTATTCACCATTGAGCTTGTTTGAGCAAACATATTTTAAGCAAAAATTCGTGCTCGGTTCTCACACTTGTATGTTTGCTCTTTGGTTGAAACAACATTTGATTACATGTCTTTTTTTTTTCTTATTTCCTTTTAAATTTTGTAGCAAAAGATGTTTCAGATATTTATATTTTAAAAAGAGCTTCAGTGAAAGAGAAGACTTTTACAATGGAATTGATTTGAATTTAAGGATTTTATTCATATTACAATTATACTATTATCACAAATAAAAATCTCATTGATTGGTTTCCTTCATAATTCCTCTATCATCCAAGGTTTCCACAATACCTAATATCTTTCCTAGTAATTATCCTCATGGTTTGTTCTTCAATTAGCAGTGCTATTGCTCTTTAAAAATCTTGATTCTTAATCTAAACTCACCATTGTTGAATAACAAAACCAATGGCTTTCTGATCTGTATATTGTCAGGGACCTTCACCTATTCATTAAGTATTAATCTTATGAATTTTTTTATTACAAGTGATAAGAATTTTCCTCACATACTTACCCAATAGGAAGTACAATCATTAGGAAGAGCATTAGATGAATCATAACTAACAGACAGTCCTGTATTGAAAACTCTTCCACAAGACTATGTAAGCTCCTTGAAAGCAATGACCATTTAATTTTGTCTCTGTAACTCCAGAGCCTAGCCCTTAAGCTCTTACACATAGGAGATGCTTAATAATTATTTGTTGAGTTGAATGGATCTTAGGGATGGAAGGGTCAAGATAGGTATCTCACAGAACTCCAGGTTACAATGCCTTTTTTCGAATAATATTTTTTGCATTAATTTACGGCTTACCACCAATGCTTCTTTTTCCTTAAACAAATAATTCATTCAGGTTAGTTCAATGTAGCGAATGTTTATTAACAAGGCATTATGCTAAACCAGGAATCGGGGTGGGGGCCCCATTCTTACCCCCAATGAGTTAATAACCTGGATCAGAAGTTCTTAACTAGGGTTCCATAGATCACCAAACAGGTTATGGATATATATATGGATATATTTCAGGCAGGCCTGAAAACTTGGATGGTTGAAAAAAATTATGTCTTTATTTTGATATAAATGGTTTCCTTCGTAATCCTGTGTATTTTATCTTGTGCATTTAAAAACAGTATTCTGAGAGGGCATCCATAGGTTTTACCAGACTGCTAAAGAGATCCATTACACAAAGTTAAAAACATCTGGCCTAAATGGAGCTGAGATGTGTACAGAAATGATGTGATAGGTAGTGTGGTACAGCAGAAAAAATGCTGGACTTGGCATTTGGAGACCTAATATTGAATCCTTCCTTGGATTTTTACTTAGCTATGGGACTATAGACAAGACACAACCTCCCTGAACTTCTATTTCTTCCTCCATAAAATGGGGATACTTAACTCAAAATGTGGTTAGGCAAGTCCTCTCTAAATTTTAAAGTGCTATGTCAATTGCGTACAAGTTGGGATGTATTACATACTTTTCAACTGGTAGGAAGTCACCTAAGGGTTACCTGATTTTACATAGGATGAAACTGAAGTTCATCTGTCACAGACTGATTATTGACAGAGCTGGAATTAGAATTCGTCTCCCCACTACCCATTCAGTGCACTTTTCATCATGTATTTAACAACATATTCTAACAGGATCCACTGCCCCAACTGTCAAAGGCCATAATTCATTCTTCATGAGTATCTTCATGAGGATCATCCTCTTGATATTTCTGGAAACTATCACAAATGTGTCAGCTCCTGCAGGGAGGAACTTGTACTCATTTTTAGGAAGTCCTGTAAAAATTTCTTGGGAAAGGCCTGGTTTTCACCATGATAGCCATGATATTGATGCCATTAGAATATCAAGCAGGAGAAAGCTGTGAACAGATTGTAAGTGCCTTGAAGGCAGGGACTGTCTTTTGCCTCATTTCCACCCCCACCCCCACCCCACTAGTTGCATAGCACTATGCCCAGCACATAGTGGATGCTTAACAAATGTTTATTGATTCATTGAAGTAAATGTTAACTTACAAGAGAAAAATGTCATTCCATTTTAGTTCAACCATTGCACCAATTCAATTAAAATCTAGAGCTGTAACTTGTTTGAAGTTAGGGGAGTCCAACCTTTTTCAGCTGTGGACTAAATAATCATATTATTATATTAAATATATATAATATAATAATCCATATATATGTATGGACAATATTAATTTTTTATCAACAATGGTAATGGTGATGGATGTTAGCTATTTAAGAATATGGGCATTTTTTATCAGTAAGACAAAAAACAGAAATCTATATGGATTTGGAATTAAAAGACTTAGATGCAAATAATGAATCTCACACTTAATACATATGTAACTTTTAGAAAGTCACTTAAGCTTTGCTAAGCTTCCATTTCCTTATCTATAAAATAGGATGATAATACTTATACATCCACCTCATCAGTTTGGTGTCAAGAAAGAGTTTGGTAAATTTCTAAAACTACTATTACTATTATTAACTCACATCTCTATAACACTTTGAGGTTTACAGAACACTTCTTTAAAAAATTAATCAACTTTAAAAAAGCACACAATGATGAATTTAGAACTAGTCATTGAACCATTTTGATCAAGTTAGTGGGGATACTGATATTGAACCAACTGAAGAACTCTGGAGTGAGTTCACTTAGAGCACAACTCAATTCTGCCTCCACATTTATATCACTTATCTTTCCAAATTGTTTTCAGCAGCTTTATGAAAAGAAATATACCCAAACACTACACAGTTTGGTTACACAGCTAGAAATTTCAAGTAGTTAAGCCCTACTGGTTTGCCCGTTTCTGTGTGCTTATTACTTGGATAAAAGTGTCTTTATTTCAAGTCTCAAATAGGAGAGGCAGTGTGTTGTTCTAGACAGGAGGCCAGCCTCCTAATCAGACCTGGGTTTAAGCCTCATCTCTGACATACTGGTTAAGTAATTCTAGAATAGCCACTTAATCCTGAAGTATCTCAGGCAACTCTGTAAAACTATACCTTGCAGAACAACTGCCAATTTACCTTGCTAGAGGAAGTTTTCTCACTTGGAGTTTCCTACACTAATGAAATCACAAATCATAACCAAAAAAAAAAAAAAAAAAAGGTCACAGACAAGCCAGGATCAGGGTCCTGCTGTTATACTCACACTGGAAGCTCAAACTCTAAGAGAACAAATATCAAACTATCCATTATATATGTCTTATGGGCTTCTCTGTGTCCCTAAACCTCACAGAAGAATGCACCTCAATAGAGACAACAAAGGCGAGTCATAATCTTAGTAATCATCAACAATGTGCAAATCAATCAATTCCTTGCTTGTATCTTGCTGGTGGAAAGTGAGATTTGGCCTTAGCCCAGCTTATCAAGAGGTGATCATCCTACATGCTATTGCAGATGTCATTAATCAAAGTAGGAACTTGTGTGGTGTCAATGAGTCATATTATTTCAATCCATCAAATAGCCAAATGAAAAGAAAGAGATACGAAATCAGATTTTCTAGTGTTAGGCTATGCAGCTCTGCTAGTAATATTGACCTTACTTAGCCAAGATAAGGCCATGACAGCCTTCAAAACACGATAACTTGTACTGATATATACTTGAAGGTTTACAAAGTACTTTATATATGTTCTCTCATTTAATCCTCACAACAACTATCTAGGTAATTGCTATTATTATTTCCATTTTACAGATGAAAAAACTAAGGCTGAGAAAGGTTAAAAGAGTTGCCTAGTGTCATGCAGTTTGTTTATTTTACATCTGAGATGGGATTTGAACTTGGGTCTTACTGATTCAAAAGCCAACCCTCTAATCTACTGTGTAATCTAGGATAGTACACTTACTTTCAATAACAGTTTCAAACCTGAGACTACTCAATTTCTACATTTTTCTTCTAACGCCAGCCCCTGCTGAGTTGAGAGATGGGAGTTCTGCATCCATGGTGGGGAAAGCACTGGATTTGGAGGGAGAAGACAGGTTGAAATCCTATATCTGCTGCTTATACATGTATGACCATTGGCAAGTCACTTCCCACTTCTGGAACTTGTTTTCTCCTCTGCAAAATGAGGATGTTGGGAAGGGAGGTAGGAAATTACCGTGGTGTGAAGACAAGAGGCATCATTAAATTGTGTTTTTTAAAGTAAAAATAAAATGAGGGAATTGGGTTTCTCAGGCCCTTCTGGTGCTGAAACCTATGAAGCAAAAGATCCTTTTGTAAGTCCTGTGGGGATGAAGAGAAAGATTTAATTGACTTATTTTTTATTGTTAGAACACAATGAGCTAAGCTTTATAAGCAGTTTGAGCATATCATATACTTCTGATTCCCCTCTTCCCCCAGACTCTGGAATGTTCCATAGGCAGTTTTCTTTTAGGATTTCTTGGAATATAGTATCCAGGTTTTTTGTTTAGTCATGGTTTTCAGTAAGGCTGAACTTCTATTATGTTTCCTCAACCTGTTTTCTGGGTCAATTTTTTTTTTGACAGAAAAAAACTATGTTCTAATTTTTCAGTCTTTGGGCTCTTTTCTAATATTTCTTGCTGACAAAATCATTGAATTGTTAGAGAGTCTACTACTTGGGACATATTTTCTACTTTTTATTCTGAGCTTTTTATTATCTAAATTTTTACTCCAAAGGGTCCAATTTAATTTTTTTGTCTTTTGTTTCATTTGATTTTTTATTTTAAATTTTTTGTGGATGTATTGTTTCTTAATACATAGTCTTTTTCCAAAACCACCTCACTACTAACATCACCACCACCACCACCTCCATTGAATCCTGTCTTGTAACAAAACAAACAATTAAGCAAAAATCAATCAACAAAATGATTAAGTCTGCTAGCATATGCAACATTTTGCCTCCATTGCTATCCACCTTTTTGTTTCATTTCTTTCTGGAGCCATTCTGGTCAAGCCATTCTTTTTTCTGAGGCTCCAAGCTACCTAAATTGTTTCAACAAATATAGAAAGAAGACAATTTAACAAACTCTTTCTATGAAACAAATATGGTACTGATATTCAAACTAGAGAGTGATAAAGCCGAGAAAGAAAACAAAGTTCAATATTATTAATG